GATGTCCTAGTGTTTGCTTTCCACAGCATTGTTCTGCTTTCATGAATGCATGAGTTTTGACCTCAGAAATACAGTCATTCTTGATATACGTGCTCTTTAATATTTCATTTCTTATCAAAATTGACAGGAAGAGTATGGCAGTTGTAGGCGAGGCACATAATATGTACATAATTCTTGTTTCCTATTTTTAATTGAAATTTTCTTCAGCTTTTATGTGGGTGCAGAAAACTATAAATTGCTGATTTTTACTAATAACTGATCTTTCCAGGTCTCTCACTAGCTTAACAATTTCATATGTGTTTTTATATTTCTTAGTTTTCAATTAAAGAAAAGATAACAAGGAAGTTCCTTTGAGAACTCAACTCTCACGCCCTATGGTGTAGTTCAGTAGTGATGCAAAAACTGTTCCCCCAGTGAAACTGTACCAAAGGGAGCAGCTGGCAGATGTCTGGGAGCGTATAGAGGGTAGTAACGTCCTTTATACTAATCTCTGGGAAACCTGCCTGCAACAGCAGAATCGGGTCGTAATGCCCAACTGCCTGCAGAATAAATGCTGAGTTGCTGGTAGACGTCTCTTCTTCTGGGTCACGCTGGAAGCTTTGGTTCCCTCGCGGAGAAATTCAGAGGGGCTCTTTCTCCCCTCTGCTGTGCCAGGAGCAAAGTACTAGCTGTCTTCCCAGTGCAGGGCAGCGTCTGCATCCAACCGCCTCAGCCACAGCGTGGGGCAGAGGGAAGCACTCAGCAGCTGGAGCATCAGGGTCTGCTCTCTTTGTCACCACATCCAGCCGCAGGAGGCAGCCAGCCTGGGCTGTTCAGCCACTCCAGTAACGTCCTCTGGGCTGCATCAAGCAAGGCCAGGACCAGAAGTTAAGAGCGCGCAGTTCTGAATGGTTATTGTACAAGACTGCTGTTTTGACAAGAAAAGACCTTGTGGCCAAGAACCACGTAGCTCTGAAGGGCAGTAAAGAGGCATGAGGTTGTGCTGCCTGCTTACAGTGATGCTTCCAGGCTTAAAAAATCCTGTTTCTTATTTTGCAAGGTGGAGTGTTACTTGTGTTCCCTATTGCACAAAACACCAGGGAGCTAAGAGACAAGTATTACTAGCTGCTTATTCATGGAGTTTTGAGAACTGGTATTTCTCCCATTGCTTTTTACAGTTAACTTAGGAAGTGTCTTCTCTTTCTCAGAAAGAGCTGACGCTGGCCATTACTAGTGAAGGGACACCACACCAGACGCCCAATGGTCCGAGCTGACAGTCCGTTTGTTCCTAAACTGAAATGTGGCCATTTAAACATTTGTGTTGGCTCAGCAAATACTTCTGTTTGCTCCAGCTCTTTTACTGATCAGTCTAAATACTTCTCAGCGTGAGATTGGGTTTGCAGTCCAGTAATATTCCAGGTTATCTCTTCACTGTTGTTGGAGTATAAAAGTTACACTGGCTTTTGTGAATACATTCCTATTGCAGTGAAAAGTTAAAAATTTGGAACATGGTATTTTTCATTCATTCTGAAGCCTCTTTTTTGGTGAAAATTCTGACTCTTTTGTACAGTATCACCTATTTTGGTACTTCTATCATATTTGCCCTCCTTTGCTATTTATGCACCCAGCTCTGGGGTTCCCAGTACAAGAAAGGCATGGACCTGTTGGAGCAGGTCCAGAGGAGGGCCACAAAAATAGTCAGAGGGCTGGAACACCTCTCCTATGAGGCAAGGCTGAGAGACTCAAGGTTGTTCAGCCTGGAGAAGAGAAGGCTCCGGGGAGACCTGATTGCAGCCTTTCAATATATAAAGGGAGCTTAGAAGGAAGACGGAGAGAGACTTTTTACCAAGGCCTGTAGCGACAGGACAAGGGGCAATGGTTTTAAAATGAAAGAGGGTAGGGTTAGCTTGGACATAAAGAGGAAATTTTTTATGCTGGGGGTGGTGAGACACTGAAACAGGTTGCCCAGAGAGGTGGTGGATGCCCCATCCCTGGAATGTTCAAGGCCAGGTTGGATGGGGCTTTGAGCAACCTGATCTAGTGGAAGGTGTCCCTGCCCACGGCAGGAGGGTTGGACTAGATGATCTCTGAAGGTCTCTTCCAAGCCAAGCCATTCTGTGGTTCTGTGATTCTGTGCCGTATTTCTCATACCCACGCTGAACTGCAAAGCAAAGCAGCCACTTCTTCTCCCAGTGATGCACCACTTCTGCCATCAGCTCTCGCTGCTGCTTGCTAGAGGCTAGAGGCCCACATTTTTCCAAACGCTATGTAAGCAGCTCAGTGATGGCAATGTCCTCCTTGGCCTCCTTTCTTTTCTAATTTAGATCCCAAATCCTTGTCTTAACGTGTTCAGACCCTTTTCGATATCAAAAGCGAAGGTAAGTCAGGAGTAGGTTGGGAGAGTATATCCGTAAGTGATACTATTGCTTCTGAAGGCTGTGCTGTTTTCACTTAACACCAAATGAAAATCCTTACAGAGGTGCTGCATGCCATAGCTTTCAGTCAAAGCGTAAAGATGGGTAGTGAGTGCTTGTGCAAATTTCCTCACAAGAACGGGGATCTAAAGCCTTCTGTCGAGCTAGCTTACCTGTGTAGAAGTCTTTGCATTCCATTTAAAGTTTTGACTGTCTAAAGATTTTGGATAGATCTTTCTAAACTATCCACCTGCTGAAACAGCAATTGTGTTATCTCAGCAAGAAATGCATGCGCTTACTTACAACACTTTGGAAATTGTGGGGACTAAAGATTGTTCAAATGACATTTGTTATTTAAAGAATTAATAAAGAAAAATAAACACATTTGTTCTGTTTGCAAAACTCGTATTTTATAGAACACTAACAAGGATCATAAATTCTGCAAGGCTGCAGGAGAGATTAGTTTGGCAGTTCCTCCACTGTCATTCCATTACGTCTGCAGACAGTTTGCTGTTGCTAGAGCTTTGATGGAGTTCATAAAGTTTGCAGCAAAATCATAATGCATTTATTTCAGTGAATGTTTTGATGCAGAACACAGAACAGTTCATTGGGCAGCGATGCTGAGGTGAGAGCACTACACTGTTACGAAGCGCCGTGCTTCCCTCCTGCATTGTCTCTCCCAGGCCCACCAGTTCTGCCGCCTCTTCTGCTTACGCTTCAAGCTCAGTGTGAGCTTTATTGTCCAAGTGTTTTGAAAGTCAGATGGATGATGAGAGCTGTGAAATTGGGCCAGATTTCCTCCTCCCAGTTTCCATGCTATTAATGTTTATTTTTAAAAAGACGACAGTTCTTCCTCTTCCTTTGAAGCAGAGTTCATATATATCTCAAAAAAAGAGGTGGTGTGGGTATTTTAGGATGTGGATCCCAAGTCAGATGGTGGCACCTGCCTGCCAGGAAGCCACGGTTAGCATTTCCAGCTAGCTCACGCTAGGCAGGTGTATGTGCTGACTGCTACTATGTCAGTTCTTCTGACACTCTCTGAAATACCTCATTTCCCATCCACTGTACACCGAATTATAGTTCATAAGCAGGTACCTACTGTGTGGCTGTGGGTCCCCCTCAGTCCTGTGTTTGTCTTTTGGGTTCAGGCTGGCACTGGTAAACAGCATATACTTGCAGCCAGCAGTAGAATTATACATCGTTAATGTAGAATTCTACATTAGAAACAGGTAGAAGTACATGCTTGAGTTCTGGCATTTCTCTAAATTAGGATTAAATACACTTGTCTCACTCTGCAAATTTTATAGTTGTTATTTACTTACTGAAAGTTTATTGAGAGCTATTGTGACCTACAACGCAATGGTACTGGTCTACTTCAGTATATTAAACTTGCCTTTCTCAGGAAAATGTTTCAATTCCCACAGTCCACAAACTTTATAAATGTAGTCCTCAAAAGTGTATTTTAAGGTGTGTGGCTTGCCAAAGGTTAATTGCTTATCCTGCTCGCTGAGGCTTACAGATTCTGTGTCTGGCTTGCTCTCGGGGGGGGGGGGGGCGCGCAGAACTGGGGGGGCACTGAGACCTGCACCGTTCTCCAGGGTCCGCAGTGAGTCGACAGAAGGTGGAAATAAGTTGGTGGCTGTCACTGTTGCTCTCCTGCTGGAGTCAAGCTGTATTTTTTTATATGTTGTTGCTATACGCACACTTTACCAGCAGTATTTTTTAAGATTAGAGCCTCTGTAACAATGAATCTGAATACCACTTGCCAGCTTTGTCATTCTGCACATATATTCCACGTTTCTTTTATGTGCGGTAGTTTTGTGGACTAAGCATTGGCTATTTTGTTAAGGCACCACATCAGATTCATAGAGCATCAAACTCGGTCCCATTTCTTTTTTCTCAATAGGATCAGAACGATCTGTTACAGGAGAGCTGAATTAAAAAAATGTGCACACGCTTTAAAGATAACTGCCTACATCTTCTCAGTGTCAGAGCCTCACGGTCGTTTTCTTGTTGCTAAAAACGACCAGAAGTTCTCTCCAAACATGAAATCACAGCTGCGTGCAAAGGGGGAGTGCCTGTGAATGGGTCATTTCACATATCAGCAAAGGCTTCTGGCAGTAATTGCCAGAATTCCAAGAGAATAGCTTAGTATTCTTTCCTGCTCAAGTATAAAACAGTCCCCCAATTGTTTTTCCTGCAGCGGTATTCACATAACCCATCCTTAGCTCAAGTTATGTTAGCAAGTCACTGTAATTGTGCCCCCACCCTTTACTCTCTCTTCCTCTCTTACCCCATTGAAAAGTTCTAAGTAAGTGACATGTTACTTAACGAAACTGGATCATTCTTTTTCTCCTGTCTCTTAATAATGCTCCTGTTCTGAATCCATACAGCGCTTTGCAACTTGCAGGCATTACGGACATTTATTGGTAAGATGCAGTTGCTCCCCACGTTTGTTATGTACTTTAATGAGCTGTGTAACAGTACATGCCTGAATTCTGAAGCTTCACTAAATTAAGATTAAATACGTTTGCCTCACCCAGCAAATTTCACAGAGGTAATTTACGAAGCTTATTGAAGGTTTAAAATTATTGGGGCTGTGAGTGAGCATAGCACCCCCCTTTGGCATTCTATTGTGCTTTTATGTACTCATTTTCTATATACGGCTGCTGTTTTGTTTGAATTACAGCGTTCATTGGCTTATAACATATTTAATCAATTTGTATCTGGTTGTGCTGTCTTTTGTTTTAATTTAGAACTTGTTGCAGATGGAGCAACAGAACAAAATCACCTCTTTCTCCCTCCTTCCTCATTCCCTTCACCGCAGCATCCAGTAGAAGCCTTTCTGAATGCTGGAGGGGATGATGATCTATGGTTTTTGGCCCGTTACCAAACACTTATAATTAATCTTTTACAAGTGTTACTCAGTGTTCATCTGTGACGGGTTTGTACTGGGAAGATTCAGAGTTAATTGCTAGGCCAGTTAATTGACTTGTGAGTGTGAAATGCCAATATCTGATTGAATACTTATATCTGATTCAAGGAAAAAAGTGAACAACTCCTTGTTGCTGGTGCCACTAGCCGCTGGAGTGGGAAGAAGGTCAGATAATCCACTGTTGCTGCTTGGAACAGGGCTGTGACTGCGTGTAAGATCAAAGCAGCCGTGGCAAGGTTGGGTCGGGAGACGGGGAGCCTTTGAAGGGAAGGGGAAAAAAGCAAGACCAGATTGCTGAAAACAAGGTGAGGGGAGCATCTTCAGAGAAGGGATGGAAAACAGCTCGGTTTTCTGTAGAGAAAACATGCAGTTGAACCCATAAGAGGTAGCTTTGGCTCGTCTCTTGCACTGATGGACTGAGAATACAAAGTGGTAAGGCTCACGAGAAGATCTGGTGTTATTAAGCTGTGACTATAGTGAAAATGAGAAAACAGTATTGATTTTACTGTTATATCATAAATATTTATAGGTTTTGTCTTCTCCAGGTTTTCTATATATTATAAAGCAGTTGATAAGCTGATGTTGCAGTACTGTAACTTTTGATACCTGTAATGCCAGATCTTCATTAGCTGTGTGAAATAATGGACGCATCCAGAAGTGAACCCTGCTCCTACTTTTTCTTCCGAGCAAACATTTCTCATCTAAATGAGTTAGCACATCAGTGGGAGTTCTGTTTTCCCAGTTACTCATGTAATCCACCGTGTGAACTGATGTGTGGAAAGCACTGAAGTTAAAACAGGTCACCTAAAACAAGCGCTCTTCTCTTTTCTGCTCTCTAGTTACCAGCTAAGACAGGAGTTGTTTCAGCTTCTTAGTGCTAAGCGGCAGTGCAAGGAAGATGAAGACAAATGGAGACAAGAGACAGCTGCCTTCTTCATTCAGGTTGCTTGGAAGAAACAGCTGAACCATAGCCCTCTGAAATCAGTTCCTTCATGTAAAAATCTGAAATCTATAAACAAAACCAGCCCAGCCATAAAAACCAGCAAGCAGTCCATCCTTAAGCAGATATATGGTAATTTTGTCTTCACTATACTTTATTTTAAATAGCTACGCTTTTATTTTTATAAGTGTTCTCTGTATTTTGGATTCTTCTGTACACTTCTTACCTAATTGTTAGGGATTTCAACTATTTATAAAAATTAGTCTGAATCTCAGGTGTTCTGCGTAATTGTATTTCTGTTTCAGGTTGAAACCAAAAATACCTCTGTGATTTAAAATGGCTGCTGCTAAAGCTGTTTGAATTGCCACGTAGCATTATTCCAGCAAGGGTCTTGAGCAACCAAGTAATTCTGTTGCCAGAGCTGCTCACATATATCAATGTGGAAAGAGAATAGAGCAGTTAAACTGGGGATAGCTGGCTGTATCGATGCACAGTGGCTATCTGGATCATGGTTTAATTTTTTTAAGCTTGTTTTAAACTTTTTTGGGTTTGTATTTTTTTTAAATATTTCCATTTGAAGAATGTGGTCTTGTTCCATGTTACTAACTTTCTTGTTTGAAGACAGCTGGTCTTTATTGGAAGAGCAAGAGTATCTTGTATGATAACACTGCACTGCTTTGCACTACGCCTGAATGTGCGCGGTGCAAGGGAATGCATCTTGGAGAAAGGGTAGAGGAAAAGCATTGCTTTTAAACCTTGAGTTCCTTTACAGTGTGGATCACTGATGGAGTAAGGATGTGCTAACTGTATGTACTTTACCAGGTGGTAAGTCACTTCTATCATGGCTCTGTAGATAGCCAAAAAGGATAACGTAAATAAATAAGTAAAAATAAATCAAGCTAATAATTTTATTTTCCTCCTTTTTTATAGCAACTGCAAGATGTATTTTAACTTTAGTTAAAGTTCAGTTGTCATATGACAATTTTATGTCATAGAACGTCTCATGAGTTTCCTCATCGTAAATGAGAATAATTTTCAGGATAAAATAACGCTGTAGCCTAGTTAAATAGTTTATAGCTATACATAACCGCATCTTCATATGAATAAACACAGATTTCATATTGTTTCTTAAAGGACGTTCTCAGGAAGGCAAAGTGTATCAGCCAACAAGACCTCCTTCTAAGCTGAAACTTTCTGATGTGCAGTTGGTCTCAGGTAGGACACGTACACGTTAAGAATACTTTAATGTTTTTTTATATATATATATATGTGAGCTTGGTTTCATCTCAGAGAAGAAAAAAAATCTGCTCAAGAACTGGGATCTATCAAAACACGTAACTACTACCAAACTGTTGCAATTGCACGCTCTTTCTTTCACTACTTTTGGACTTACTTGAGCACTCTACTTTTATCCTTATGTTGAATCGTTTATATGAAAACCTATTTTCATTGGGCTGTTACTAGGAAAGACCTTAATGTAATGGACTGGTACAGTGGTAAGCCAGGTAACATTCACCTGTGGTTAAAATTGCTT